GCCGGCATTCTTGCCCCTCATGACATGAGACCGAAGGGCACGACGGTCAGACTTGCCTATCCCGGCCGCACTCTGTTCAATGAAGACCAACGCAGGGCTCATCGTGGTCGCTCAAACGGTCTGTTCGATGTCGGTAGTGAAGATTACGGCAGGCGGGGTACTCTCCCTTGGCGGTCCATGAACTCAGCTGTTGCCTGTCTCCAACGGGATGGGCTATTTTTAGACTACGCTAACCTGATGTCGGATTTCTTACATGTTAATCCAACCTTGCTCCAATCACAAAGGGCGAAACCTCACATTACATCTTTATGGTGATACAAGTTTAAGCCTGTTGTCCTGCTCAATCAAAGAGGCTCATGCAGTCCAAATCTAGTCATTCTTCAAGATCGACGCTATACTAAAAGTAGGCGCTAGCAGGGCACGGTGTATAATGGAGATCTTGAAGAAAGTTTAGGAGGAATATTTAGATGATGGCTTCACTTACATCATGTGGCTAGTTCGCGATTTTCTAACACGCTTTGATGGGATTTGATACAAGCCATTACTCAATTTCTAGCAGTAGCGAATACAACAATCTCAGTAACCAACAAAAAGTCTATGCATCCCTCGAAAATGTTCTCGATAGATCATGGCCACTCTAGCTCCAGCCCGCAACGTTAGAAGGAACTGGGTGGTATCCGTTGAATAAGCCACGAGGATCGAACTTGTTCTTCAAGCTCGTCAAACGCTCATGACGCCACTCATTGTATCCGTACAGAGCTGACAGAGGCTCGTCCTCGTTGGCATAGTTCTGGTAGACGTAGAGCTTGTCGTAGCCCGAAGAGCTAGGCTCGGCAAACTTATCGCGCCACTCCGCGAAGAAGTTGTTCACAGCGTCAGCAACAGAGTCGTCCGTGTACGAGCCAATAGACTCAATCACGTTCTCAAAGTGGTCGCGATGGGGGAAAGCCGAGTAGTCATCGGCAAGCGCCTTGACTCCCTGCACGGGGAAGGTCTCGATCATCATGGCCGAGCCGGCAGCGAGAGGGTTCGCTACTAGGAACGTCTCAAATGCGTCGGTGAAGCTGACCCAGGTAGCCGGGTTGAGGACCTTGGTGTTGAGGGCGCGCAGGTTGTATCGCGGTCCAGTCGCGCAAGATTGAGGGATGAGACCATGGACCGTCTTCGTGGGCAGCTCTTCCCAGCCCAGCATGTTCTCTTGGAGATCGACGCTGAAGGAAGAGAAGCGTTCGGTATACTTTCTGCCCTCTTCCTCCGGTCCAGAGTAGACCAGGTTGACTATGACGGTGATCTTTGGAGAGGTAAGCAAGGAACAATAGTGATAAGCTTGATAATGACACCCCGACGTACCTGAGATGTCGTAGCATCCAATGCGAAGAACATGAGGACTGCCAACTTTTCATCCAGACCTCCCGCGGTCAGTTCATTGGTGATCTCCATTACACGTTGCACGGAGTCCTTGGTGAAGACGAGGTCCGCACTGTAGTGCTTTCCTCCATTCGTCGCCGGCCAGGTCTCGTACGTCGACTCAATGACGATGCCGTAGTTTTGGCCAGACCCCCTGATTCCCCAGAAAAGATCGGGGTTGACGTTGTTGGAAGCCTCAATGATGGTTCCGTTCCACAGAGCCAAGCGGACCTTGCGGAGTGCATCGCTAGTCAAGCCGTGCAGGCCCTGAAGGCGACCGAGGCCACCGCCCAACATGGCGCCTGTTGAACCCACACATGGGCATGATCCCACGGCTATTATCTCACGAGTTAGAAAATACAAGCATTTCATTCTCATCTTGGTGTGGCTTACTTAGTTCTCGCCCAGCGGCCGCTACGGTGTCGATGAGATCGCTGAAACGGACACCAGTCCCCACGACCGCTGTGTTGTCGTCTTGCAGCTTGACGTAATTGAAGTTTTCCAAATTTATCAAGACGGCGTCTTGGATGGCGTGGAGAGACGGAGCATATCCGTGACCTCCAGACTTGGCCAGCCAGGTCATGTTGTTACCGGACATGTACTCAAGCTATATTCACGGAATCCTATCAGTCAAAGCTTCTTGCTGTCCAAATAGTTCCAGCCAAATGGAACAATACTATGTGTGCCAACTTACAGCAAGGGAGAGCTGTTCCTCAGTTTCGGGAAGGAAAACCTCATCAAAGGTAGGGGCCTTGTAGGACGACCAACGCGTCGTCTTTTCGCCGAAGCTAGCCCAGGACTTATCGTGTACCAGGCTAGAAACTTCCGTCGGCCATACGATTTGAGAATCGTTGCGAGGATACAATGTTGAGAAAGTCAGGGGCGTGCTTGATGCCGTCTGGATGAAGGCCAAAAGAGCCGGTAGGGCTTGAAAGATCGCGTGGCGGGCCATTTCAACTACTATGGGAACGAATGTGCGTGAGTCTTCTTGCTGTTCAGGTTTCTTGGATAACACATCAAAAAGATTAGATTTTGAAACGAGGTCCTTGAACTTTTATATCCTTCCCACTCGTAACTGTTCACGATGGTGGCTTGCTGTGCCTCAGCCGCCAGGCCCCCCATCATCAGATATGAAGCCATTGTAGGGCCATCGTGGATAGATTGTTTTGCTCCTGAGACGGGGCGCAGCGCTTTCAAGCGATGCCAGGCTCTTCTGTGTGCCCCGAAGTGGTGATAGTTTGGATGAGAACATTGTAGGATTCTTCAGTCAGGGTTCAGCCGCTATCCTTCCCAACCCGATTGGGAATGGTTTCTCGTTTGGGGGCCTCGGTAAGCTGAAGAATAGGGCCCAGTCTCAATCCAGAAGCCGTACTTTGCGAGATGTAATTTATTTTGGTCGAATCGAGGCCCCAAGGCGCAATCCAGAGGCATTGTATACGTCCCTGAGGGATCACTAGTTCGAGGCAGCCGCATTCACCGATCCTTCCGTCCCGATAAGCGGATATACTAAGACCATATGAAGCTTGTAACACAGGGCTGTGAGTGCTTGAGCGCTTAAGGCGAAGCCGTGACAGCCGTTCGGGACTGAGGAGCCAAACGCATCAGCCGGAGGCGTTTTCCGATGGGTGCCTGCCTAGAGCGGATAGCCCTTGTGTGAGACTGACCGGGACGAGAGGGAACTTCAGTTGATTCTGCAAGGGCGGCGTAGCCAGCATCGATGATCCGGAGGACGAGGGGCGACAAAGATGGGCGTTCGTCCCAAGATTCTCACCCCCCTCACCCCCCTCCTGCTCCGCCCGAAGTAGCGAATCGCTTCGCATGGCCCCCTCACAGATTTGTGGCTTACTGGGCTTCTTGATCGTTGACTCGGGTCCGCAGGGCTGACAACTCGGGCCCGAGACCCACAAATCTAACTCGGGTCCCGGGCCGCGGGGCACTAGTTTCCGGCAAAGCATACTCCGCACTAGACCGGAACCTGTCGAATGCCTAGTCGGACGTCAATTGAAGCCTAATTTGCGCAATCAAACCCATCGTTATTTGGTAAATCAAGCTGTTCGAGAGGTGACATCGAAATTCCGAACACAATTCTTACGACCCTCACATCCCCCAACTTTGACGTTGATAGAATTCCTACCTTAGCAAGCCATGGGTTCAGCCACAGAGATTCCAGCATACACTAGAAAGACCGTCTTGGTCACTGGAGCAGCTGGGACACTCGGCCAAGCGACTGCAATCTCGTTTGCTGCCGCAGGAATTGCCCGTCTTGCCCTCGTTGACCACGTCAACGTTTCGGATACCCACGAAAAGGTGGTCCAGGCAGCCATCGACGTCGGTAAACCGGCACCCGATGTGCTTGCTTTGACCATCGATGTCTGTGATGCCGCGAGCGTCGAAGCAGGCGTGCGAGAGGTGAGCTCGATGTGGGGTCATGTCGACACTTTTGTCAACATCGCAGCTTCTTCGCCTAAACCCGTCATCCCTCAGGGCGATGTAACTGGATTGAGAGACGTGGATACCTGGTGGAAGGTCTGGGAGGCCAACGTCAAGGGTATCAGCCTCATGGCTCGGGCCCTGGTGCCCCTTCTTTCGCGCAGCTGTGAAAGGACGATCGTGAATGCGGTTCCTGTGTTCTCCGTCAATCCCGCGGCGCCTCCAAGCGACAATCAATTGTCCATGTTGGCCTCTACGCGGCTTTCTGAGAGTTTGATGCTCGACTTCGCGCATGAGGGCGTCCTTGTTTACTCTGTGAACCCAGAAATCAATCTGGAGGGAAGAATGCCAGAGGCCACGAGACAAGGTAAGTAAAGCTAGTGACGATCCAGGTTCCAAAGTATAAGAATGTTCTGGGTTAATGCTGATACTTGCCAGTAATCAATACTGAATGCGGCGATGTCATTGTCCATTTGGCCGGCAAGCGGCGCGAATGGCTTGCAGGGAGACATATTGGGAGCGTGGAGGACTTGCTTGAGCTGCAGGTCCGTGACGAAGACTTGGATGGCAATCCTCTTCCAAAGATGCAGCCTCCAACTGAGATAGTTCCTTTCAAAAGTGAAACTTTTGTGCCGTCCTGGACATCCAGGAGGGGAAGAGTGCCTCGTAGTAGTTACTGAGAAATTTAGTATATCGTTTCTACCGAGGACCGATGGTCTTTCTTGGTTAAGGCATGCACGACTTAATGGGCAATGTCAGGGGAACTCAGAATGAACTGTAACCGGCGTTTTATCTACAAATGTAGGCTGTTTCTTTGGTGTTTTTATTTCTTATTGACGTTGTATTTAAGGCTTATAACCGGGGACTTTGATAACAATGTGATCGTTCCCACTCTATAAACGTTTTTTTGCAAAGTTAGTAGACTTGATATATTCTGAAACACATCATAGGATACAGCCAGCTCCTATGGTCTACTTACCTAAGGTACATAGCATTGAGTAGTCTTATTTGAAAGCAGCCAACATCTATAAACGAGCATCAGCATTCAAGATTTAGGATTGATGTGAAGTATTTGCCAGAAGAGAATGCATTCGAGTACAAGTAAATTAATCAGGGTATCTTATATCCCCTACAGCCTAACTTCCTAAAAGTCAATATCACGTCTACGAAATCTGAGAAATACATCCAGGCTGCACCTGCTCCAGCTTGGCAACGAGTTCCTTCCATGTCGCCTTCTGCAAGCGCTGGCCCTCATCGTTACTAACCCAGTCTGGCACCCAGAACTCCTTGATCTTGCAGCCTGAAAGAAGCTTTCCATGACCCTCCGCGCCAACTACCAGGCCGTGCAGGATGGTGCGACTGCCCACTTCCGCTGTGCGGGCCATCATAGCCCGGACCGCCTCATGCATGATCTTGGTAAATGTCCTCGCATCACGTCCCAATCCGGTGGTGCAGAGACCAGGGGCAACCATAGTAATGACCACGCCCGTGCGGTTTACGGGAAACTGGGCCGCAAATTGACGAACAGCAAATTCCTCGACGAGCTTTGTGAGAGCGTACCTGGTAATTTTGCGTCAGTCCCGCAACATGCCGCCTTTTCTTTCTTGGACCTTCCTCTGACGTACCTTGAGTCCATGTTTGCGCGTTTTTCGTCGTTGAGTCCGTCAAAGACGCTCCCATTGCGACTCTTGTCCATCTCCGCCTTGACGGTGTATCCCAACACGCTGACAATGAAGACGAGCGTTGGCTCGATACTGAACTTGCGAGCGCTTTCGCTCAGCTTGGGCATCATCAAGGCTCCAAGGAACAACGTGTTGACGACATTGACGAAGATACTGCTCTCGACGCCTTCGAAAGTCTCCCACTGGTCGATCATGATGCCGGCATTGCAGACGAAGCCGTCAATCCTGTCCAACTCCTGTGAGATCTGCTTGGCAAAGGTTTGAACGGCAGCATAGGTTGATAAATCCAGATGCCGCACCTTTTGCCACCAGGGTTCTAATATTAGTCTATCTTTCTCAGCCGTCAGTGGTTGGGGAAAATCGAGGTTACCTGTACGACGCCCTTGCGTCCTGTCGACTTCTCGATATCTGCCTTAGCTGTTTCTCCAGCGCTAAGATTCCTCACTGCCAGGACAACTGTCGCGGCGGACGAAGCGACGAGGTGTCGCGCAGTCTCCAGGCCCAAGCCGGAGTTGCCTCCGGTGATGACATAGGTTTTTCCCACGCAGGAGGACTCGTCCACCAGGATGGGGAGCTTCCTGTACTGCTCTGCAGTCAACCGTAGCATCACCATCTTTGCAACTATTATCCAACAAACGAATCGAAATTTAAAAATTTCTCGGAACGACAGAGAAAGTAGACTTTGGGGCGAATTCAAGAAGGGCGATGTGCACGGAGTCTTGGGTATGCCGGAAGACACGATACCGGCGTGTTCACGACACGGCTGTCATCTTTTATATCCAAAGCAGGCAGCATCTTACGAAGTCTTCCAGAGACGAAGGTAGTGTCAAGGCTACGGCATGGTCTCGGAACCACAATGGATCCAAAGCGCATGGCATCATTTTGTTCAGTCAGGATGTGAGTTCAAGGTAGAAGTGGCCAATCACAGGAACAGATCTAGATCTATCCAATGTGTGGGTCTCTCAGCAGCCAATTAGATATTGCTTTCTACTCTAAGACTAGCGTCTACGGACCGGTCCCTCCTGCCGACCTGTAACCCGAGCCAATCAGATATTGATTGCCTCTTCGGGGGGCGGACAGGGAAATACAAAGATCAAGTTCCTCCATCCTCGGACTTTTGTCCAATGAAATATGCTCAGATCAGACGATAGTATCCACCCCTCGGATACTTAGCTTGCGGCTCCACTGTCAGCTTATATGTATCCGTAGACTTGCACATGAAGGGGTATTGAATCCTTCCACGTCGTAGAACCCTTGAAATGATACTTTAAGCTACCTAAACAAGGTAGTCTGTGTTGCGTGATCCCGCCAGCCTGAACCGAAGTACTTCGTACGGGCGATTGCAGGCCCAGCCCGCCCGATGTATTAACAGGGAGCAGGGTCCTATCGCCCTACCCGTCCGCCACCCATTGGCGGCTTGGCCCAAGGCTCCTCCGTGCCTGCATGTGCACATTGAAGACTTCCAAGCCTTGATAGCGTGACTACCTCTGTGTAAACAATGATTCATTGAGTGCCTTACATTTTCTCTGACCTGCGGCGCAGTCTACCCTCGTACTGCGTATGGTCCGTAAGACCATCCTCCCTCCATGCATCCGAAGGGGTCCCTGTCTATCTAGCTCTAGACCCTTGTCATAATATCCTCGAGAGCGCCAAGAACCAACACATTTCTCAGACAGAATTTCCAACAAATTAGATCTCTTCTGCCTCCATGTAGCTATCAGATTCAACTTCGTCCCTTGTCGTTCCGAGATGTCACCTGCGCCAGCCAGCTCGCCCGGAGGCGACGGCTGAGTAAGGGAGAGCTGGCCTGTACGTGGATCTGACATACAGCTAGCGCGGCAGGGCGTGCATACCGTACCTTACCGGTCGGGAACCTTCGTCTGATTTATCCGTCATCCCCCGGAGGAATTGGACCCTTGATCCGGAAACGTGTCGCGAACTTGCGGGGTGGGTTGAGGTGACGACGAAACGGGGAAAGTAACATCCACATCATCCAGGCATGCACGAAATTCGATGGCGAAATCTATGGTCTGACAGGATCTGGATCAAATTGGGCATATTCTAAGCGGCTCTTCTGCGCTTGCTTGAGCTGCCTAATGTGACGCTACCTTTTTGGGTTCCCGTATAGGGCTAGCCGTCTGGCGCCCGTTGCGGTATCAAATCATACGACAGGATGGTTCATCTAGAATGCTGCAGATACAACCGATTCGAGGAAGTTGAAGGATTGCATAGTGTCACACCAAACAACTTTACTACATACCAAAAAGAAAACCCCTTTGCCTAGGAGCCTGTAGAAATGGTCTCGGTAGGAATGGGTGATGACTGGCGCATACATGTAGTATTGGCTTTCATCTCCTCTGCCCGGAAAAGGCGACCCCTGCTTATTGTCGCTACCGCTGTTGCAGAATACACCGAGCTCCAGCCTCTGAACCGAAGTTCTGCATGCAGAACTGCGCTCATTTGATTCCTTCGCTTACGAGCCAGGGCGCGGCACAGTGGAGGTCCTCAAAAGTAGGCTGCGCTGGGAAACGATGGAGGCGCGTTCTAATCATCGCCCCCGTTCATCATATATCTATCTAGATACCAGCTCGCATGCGGTACGTCCTTCTCCATTAGAGCGAATCAGACAGTGAACCTTTGTAGACCATTTCAAGCCTCAGGCTGTCTTCATAGAACACTACTGGCGTCTGCTTATCTTGTCCTCGCTTTTACATAAGATCCGGAAAACAACATGGCTCCTACCAGAGAAAGAAGATGGTGGACGAGCCAAGAAGATGACATACTCAAACGAGAGGTGCAGGGAAAAAGTACCAACCCCATCTCCCCCCTTGTTACGCGTGCTGCCAAATCTAACAAAGATCTCCATCTCCCAGTGCGCCAAGGCGGGAGCGTCCAAAACTGGAACGACATCGCCATGTCATTACCGGGCCGTACCAACAAGGACTGCCGCAAGCGGTGGGCAAAGATCCAAGTCGATATTCGAAAAGGTGCTTGGACACAAGAAGAAGACGAGAGGTTGCAGAAGGCCGTGGTGCAACTCGGGTGCAAGTTGGTTCACCCCACGCTTCCCTATTACCCATTTCTCGGGTCTCATCAATGCTAACCTCCACCCTTGTCATAGATGGTCACAAGTAGGGGCCATGGTTCAAAGTAGAAATGCCGACCGTAAGTAGAAATCAGCGTCGTTAATATCCCACCATTGTTTCCCCTTCAGTGCTGATGTGCATCCTTGCTGCAGAATGCGCGAAACGTTGGCAACATGTATTGGGACCCGACGTTAAGCATTGTTCATGGACCCCCGAGGAGGACAAGAAGTTGTTGGACGCGATGGGCAAGTTTGGAAACAACTGGAAGCAGATTGGTCTTACCGAGCTGCCGGATCGTTCCACCCACGATCTACGCAACAGGCAAGTCGAAAAATCTGAGCCATCTGCATGGATATACGGCTGACCATGGCTCACAGGAGTCTCATTCTCGGCCGCAGAAGTCGACATGCACAAGCTAATAACTCGAATTCCTCTTCACGGTCATTACCGGAGACCCATGACGAGGAAATGGCCAGCAGTAGTCCTGACGTTAATGATGAGGACGAGAGTTGCGAGGGTGACGGTGACGACGGATTTGATGAAGGTTCCGAGTGCGAAATGACCGACTCAAGCAGAAATCAGAAGCATCAGCTCGTGATGGACATGAGTCTCCTGTCCGAAGAACCAGTGGAGGCAACAGAACTCGGGCCCACGTCTACGATCATACCAGACTACCGTCACTCAGACACATTCTTGGCAGTACCCGCTCTGGAGTTGCCAGGTACTACTTTCGACATGTTCGACCCGAGCTGCATAGGCACCTCAGATCACTCATCGGGGAATTCGGCTATTCAAACTCCGGATAGCGATTGGATGTCTTGGCTCAATTCGCTTGAGAATGACACCTCAGTTTCGCTGGAATCCCGGCCCTCATGGTGGGATGAAGGTCCCACTGATCAAAGTTACTTTCATGACTCCAGCTATGGAAGTTTTGATGTCAACACGGCTGGTATTTCGGATACTATTCATATCTCAAGAGCAAGGAAACGTGTCAAAGGCGAGGCTTCTCCAAGAGCTTCTCTCGGGTCAGTGACTCGCGCTGAGAACCCATCGAAGGACAATGGACAGATGGGTCTTGTCACTTTGTCTCTGGACCAAGTAGACCCGATAATCGCCAACGAGATAATAGGAAGCGTCATGAAGCACAGCGCTGGTCTCAAGATCAACTGTACCGTCAATAATCACCCATAAGTCTCGAGTAGTGTATAATACGCATGTATGTATATTTGTAGCGCGCATACGCGACCATATTGAATGGATGAACTCATGACAACTCCTCATAGAAGGCAAATTGATGGCGTGACACATCTTTTTTGTCTCTCGATACTGCTGAAATTATGTGCCATATCTTTGCACACATGATCCTCGACAGACATCGTCATAATTCTGGTCCAGGAATTTCAGCAAGGACCCGAGTTCTGCTACTTCTGCGCCCAGCGCAGTAGCCCGACTTGGGTCCAAGTACATCTGATTGGTTCAATCAAATGCCCTATTGTTTGTAGTGAGTGTGACAACAAATATCGAGTTGTTCTTGATGGTGCCACTGGCATACCACTTCAGAATACACGCGTTGGCTGCCACAATCCAAGTTATCCTATTCACCCATCTTCCCATGTCATCCGGATACCTATGCGTCAATGTCGTCTTTCAGAACGCCCAAGGTGAGCCTAGAGCCCGCTTCAACGTCCGGCCTGCGAACGCTTCCCGAATTGGTCGACTTCCACGCCAAAAGCAACCCCAAGCACCTATTTTGTCTCCAAGCCGACGCAAATGCGGCTGGAAATGGCCACAATTTTGTGCCCTTGAGCTACGAGACGCTACAGCGCGCCATCATCCGCTGCCAGGCATGGCTCAAGGAACAGGCAACCAGTCTTCATGCACCGAAGACTGAAGCCGATGGTAGCGTGAATAAATGCGCCCCCGTCGCGGTGCTCATGGAGAGCCATGTTGGCTTGGTCATCTGTGTGCTCGCCTGTATGGGCATGGGCGTGCCAGTTGTCCTCCTGTCGGCGCGTCTGAGTGCGCCGTCCGCACGACATCTTATCCGCGAAACGGGCGTGAAACTTGCTCTTGTGTCTCCGCGCCTATTGCCCCTTGCTTTCGAGGCAGTTGGTGCTGAAACTCAAGATGGAAAAGAGATCCCTGATGAGAGCACGATCATGATCCGCTCTGTATCCGGCTACGAGTCGTTCCTTGCAGATGAGCCCGCAGAAGACCAGAGTCACACCTTTCGCGCTGCCGATGCGGATCACTACGTTTCGGAAGATGATCGCCAGGTTCTCATCCTACATTCCTCAGGGACTTCGGGTCTCCCAAAGCCGATACCTTGCTCTCATCGATACTTTCTGAGCTACCTTACGCCACATGCCACAACTTCGAATCGACCAAAGAAGCTCATGGACTGACGGTCTCTACACTACCGTTCTTTCACGTAAGTTAACAGAAGAAACGAATCTATTTCCAGTGTCGCATCTGACCACAGAGGCAGGGTTTTGGCTTCGTATCCGTCTGCCTGTCCCTCAATATCGGCAAGACATTTTGCGCCCCTGTACCTTCCACCATCCCCAACGGTGCCAGCATCGCAGCCCTCATAGAGGACTCGCAAGCGAAGGCGTTATTGACAGTTCCGTCTATCTTGGAGGAAATTGAGGGCTTGCCAGGTGGCAGAGGACATGATATCCTTCGCAAGCTAGATTACGCGGGCTTCGGTGGCGGCAGACCCAAAACCTCGGTCGGCGAGAGACTTGCACGTTCGGGCGTGAGACTCGTCGGCCAGTACGGTGCGACAGAGACTGGTCCAATGACACCTTTTTTCGTGCCCGGCAAGGAACACGACTGGCGTCGACTGCGACTGCGTGCTGATATACTCGGACCGCTTCAAGTGAAGCTTGACCTCATCGATGCAGATGCAGAAGAGAGTGCGCAGACCGAATCCGAAGCAGAACGATCTTACAGCTACAAGCTGAGCATGAAGCCGTTTGGGTGGCAGGAGCGCTTCGAACTGCAGGATATAATCGTAGCACGCACGGAATGCGCCTCGGCCGATGACGTGGGACAGCTGGATTTTGTGATTACGGGCCGCAAAGACGACCTGATCTGTCTTGCCACCGGAGAGAAGGTGAGGCCAACGATATTGGAATCCCTGCTCAGACAGCATGAGGACGTGAGAGACGCAACTGCTTTCGGTGAAGGACAATTCGAACTCGGTGTCATTGTAGAGCCTGTCAGACCCGTCGAACCCAGCGAGATGGCCAACTTCAAGGCGTCGATCTGGCCGGCAATTGAGGAAGCAGGCCGTCAAATGGATGCTCATGCAAGAATTACATCGTCTACCGCGATTCTCGTCGTCGCTCCCGAAGCGCTCCCGAGATCAGACAAGGGCACTGTTCTCCGGAGCGCAGTGTCAAGGAAGTTTGCCGATGAGATGGCGGCAGTCTACTGTGATCTTGAGGCAAGCATGGTTGCACCACCAATCGACCTATCCTCGCCTGCGTCCAGTATCAGAAATCTCGTTACCCAGGACGTTCTGGGGTTAGACAACGGCCGTGATTGGGAGGATGACGATGATTTCTTTTCAGGCGGCATGGATAGCCTTCAAGCGACGAGACTACGAAGACTGCTGACGGCTTCACTGCGCGCAACGTATGCCGCCTCTAAGCCTGAGACAGCCAACCTCCTCTCCGCGGACATGATTAAAGATGACATCGTCTACCGCAACCCTTCTGTGAATAAGCTGGTTGAGGCACTGATTCCCAGTTCGTCCAAGACAAATGGAGTCATTACCGAAACAAAGCTTATCGAACAGCTGGTAGACAAGTATTCCAGCAGAGGCATTCACCGAGAGCAGCGAAAATCCGTGGTATTGCTCACAGGCGGCACTGGCAGTCTCGGGTCTTTCTTCGTTGGGCGGCTCCTTGCGGATGATAACGTGAGCAATGTCATTTGCTTGAATAGACCTAGAAAAGGAAACCCTACAGAAGCTCAGAAACATGCGGTAACGTTACGAAAAGTCTCTGTCGATGAGAACGCTTGGAAGAAGTTGGAAGTCCACGAAACAAATACTGCAGATCAGTGGCTCGGCTTGCCAGAGGCCGAGTACCTGCGTCTCGCGGCTAGGGTAACTCACATCGTACATATTGCGTGGCCCATGAACTTCAAAATGGGTCTGCAGTCGTTCGAGGCTTCATTCTCAAGCTTGCTGAACCTCATCCAGCTAGCGCGCCAAGCGAGCATTCACCGGGCACAGAAGCCAAAGCTGTTACTGGTATCCTCCATTTCTACGGTGGGGAACTATCCGTCAATCAAGGGACAGACTTTGATTCCCGAGACGTCTGTCGAGGATCAAAGCTGGACGCTAGATCTCGGCTATGCCAAAGCCAAGCTTGTCTGCGAGAAAATCATCGAACGCACAGCACAGGACCATCCTGAGATAGAGGCGGCGGTGGTCAGAGTCGGCCAGATTGCCGGCTCTACCACCGGCTACTGGAACGCTTCTGAGCACTTTGTAGCCCTTTGTGCTTCTTCTCAAAAGCTGGGGAAATTTCCCGACCTGCGTGGGGTAAGTCAAGATGTCAAAGAAAAGGCTGTTCTGCTAGCTTGAACATTGGGGCAATTCCATTTTGCTAATACACTTTGCTAGACCTTGTCGTGGCTGCCGGTCGATATAGCTGCCGAAGCCCTCAGCGAGATTCTCTTCCATCAAGAACCACTCAGTGCAGTCTACCATCTAGAGAACCCAGCCCGGCAGAGCTGGGAGGAAGTTGTCAGACTGATGTCTGAGGAACTACGGATAAGCAGGTCGTCCATCATCCCGCTCGAGGCCTGGCTCGACTTGGTCGATACTATACCGGAACCAGGCAACCCTGCTGCAGGTCTCACGCGATTCCTTCGAGAGGATTTCGCCAAAATGTCGTGTGGATTTGTTGTCCTAGATACCAGCAATTCTCGCAATGTGAGTTCGACCTTGGCCAATATGACGTCGGTGGGGGAAAATTTGATCAGGGCATATGTCTCCTACTGGAAGAGTATCAAAACGTTGGCGTAGATACCTGACGGACCATTAGCTCTGGACTTATTGATATTTGGTGTTCTAAATGAAACCAAAAGCTTTATCATGTCTCGATCTCAGAATGCAGAACAGTACTATAGCTCGACTTGGTCATCTTGTTTTGGGCACTAGGTGTTTGCATGTTCAGTCTGATGAAATTAGACCATTAGCAGACAATCCGGCTACCATATCACGTTCTGTCTCAAGTTTCTGCTCGGCGACCTCGACATGCTATTTGCCGCTGTACTTTTGGGGCACAACGACATCACAGAGATAGCGTCGTAGGTAGTCAGAGCAAGAGGAGGAAGAGGTCGCAATCCTGAGTGAACCAAATATTTATATTAGGTTTAGCCTGAGTTCCTTATACATAATTCCATACCGCAAATATTTCTAGCCCTACGTGTCAGCCGATTTCAATCATTTCAAATGTAGTTTAGGGAACCGTACCTTGCGGCTGTTAAGGTGTAAGCGTGCAACCCAAGTCCTTATTGCATGTGTTCAAACACTTCTCAAAGACGGCATTGCTTCCTTTCCCAAAGAAGCAATCTTTGCGGCAAAGATCGCACTATAACATGTTGGTCAGCGTTTGCGTTAGAAAGGCAGGGGGCATAGCTAACGTACAGCTGTATTGGTTGTCTGGCGAATCTCGAGACTAGCAGGGCTGGCGAAGGCAACGCCTGCAAAGAGAGCAAAAATAATGGTAGACAGTTGCATTTTGTAATGGTATAATATCTTCGGTCAACGAAAGATTTCGCAGCTTGGCAATAGTGAAGGAGAATAAAAGAGAGAGTTGCTAACAACTTTGTTTAGAGAGTGAACAGATATACAGTGTTCCTTGAAGCTTGAGAGAGATTGAATGCGTAACTCATCTTGACTAGGTATCCTGAGAGAACAATCCGGAAGTATTTAACTGAATACCTACATGGAGTTTTTGGCAGGGGCTCTTTCGACGTTTGTCTAGGTCTGGGTGGCCTGACTAGATGTTCTGGACAGCTGACACAAACCTGACACAAGGCACGGTTGAGTCTCGGAAAGTGCCTGCCAAGGATCCAGCGAAATGATAGCATAACAGAGATGTTCTGGTGATCAAGTGGCCTACTTGGTACGCTGTAGTCCTGTTCTGTACGTGAAAACCCCCTTGTTTTCACGTTCCGGCACCATTGTCAAGACGAACTCTCGGCCATCACTGGTGGACCAGCACACTGGGTCACTGAGTCAGGTAGTTCATCCGGACAACGCGACAATCAGCAGGGCAAGAATAGAGTTTTTGTCAAGCATTTCAATAGCTCGGTTATCAAATTTGTGAGACAAAGAAGGAAGGCCTTGATGAAGAAATTCGGTCTGCCCCATCTCTCTTTACTTATTACTCGTAGGCTCAGGCCGTCCTTAGTCGAAATAACTTCGCATAGCAACATCATATTGATGTTGCATAGGTCCATAATCTCAACAATGCTCGTTTTCTTTTTCATTCGATTTTAAGACCTCTCACTTCAACCCAGCCTCTTGCAATAAGAAGGCTAGGTAGTTGACGTGAGAGTCAAGAGCCCTCATGTATGAAGTACGTCAGTTTTCGTGATATCAAAGCAGCACGGCTTTTTTGCTCTCTTCAAAGGAACCCTTATTTCGGGCTGTAATGATAGCTCTCGAGATTCAATAAGGATTCGACCGGCAACTAATTACGCAATTGAATGTCTATCAACGCTGTATCTGCAATCATTCTTGATTACTCTCATACCGCATGACTCATAACTCACTTAAACCGTGCGGAATCTTAGTTTTCAAGACTCGGTCTCGCAGTTTCCTCAGCGTGAATGGCGACTATGCTTGAGCAATACGAATTGAATAGTCAATAGGTCCTAGGAACAATGCAGTGAGGAGGATTGCACGTTATGACATTACTCGTACACCCACTAATTACACCGCCACAACAAGACAGAGTTTGACCTCAAACGTCAGGAAATGTTCAGTTCCGCCTGAAACCTTCCCCGGAAGCAATCAATTATCCGCCAAATATCGGAGACACCGGCAGCCCACCGGTAACCCACTAGCACCTTTGCTATAATCCCATCCTTCTAAGCAGACATCAGCATCCAGAGAAGAAAAGTTTCCTGCGTGTCCCAAGTATCCGTACGGTCAAGATCGACATATAACATCTATCACGGAACAAGGATGGTTTCAGCACTCGTCAGGCAAGCTATCACGCGCTTTAACACGTGAATTCCATTCGCTTAGTACATAAACTATCATCTTTTCTTCGTTCTGGTTGGATTAATACCAGTTGCTTTCAATACCTTTATATACTCATTGCTGCGTGTCATCACCTGCCACAACATTTTGCCGGGTTCTACTTGCTGGTTAGTTACGAAGACAACAGCGGTAATGCTTCCTTGGTAAACACTAAACGGTGAGGCAGCCTAAGAGCTTGTCACTGACTGCCTGCAACGCTGCTGGCGACTGCATGATGTCTTGCCTCGACGAGAGAGGAATCCCGGGGAGTTAAGGTGAATTGAGCAATGACGATAGCAGATAAAGGAACTTCAGAGCCTTCTCCTCTAAGCTTAGCTCAAGGAAGAAAAGATGCATGTTTCCGCATGCTGCGTCATACATATTGATGTGCTTGAGTAGCATGTTTCAGTCATAAATGATCGCACATTGAATGCGGCGCTTTGTGTTCGGCGATGTTGCAAGTCAAACATTGAAGCGAAGTCGTAGTAATGGCCGTAAACAATTACTCCTTGGGGTATGTATACCAGATTTCTTCTCGATGCTGACATTACACGGTCTTGGAACACATGCCTATATGCTAACTGAGATCGGTGTTACTGTCCCTGATATATCACACAAGGTTCCTGGGAGCTTCTTTGAAACATCTCATCAGGCTATCCCATTGAATACTAAGTGGCATATGAATATAAGTACTCTCATAGAGGGCGATTCCTAATTGCCCATTAATTCAATCTATTTTGTGAATAACTTCGAAGTATAATAGGGCTACCAGGAGAAAAAGTAGTGCCGAACATACTGACGCTATTATTTCTGGCAGTCGATGGGCTGAATTTGGGCCTCATCACATGATGCTTCCCATCAGATATGGCCCGTGGAGGGTACTTCTCGTGACGGCAGACCAGAAATGATTGCAATTGTGCGAACGCTGGTTACGAGGTGTGCCAGGCTGTGTGGCATGCAACCAGGAGCTCATTGGAAGAGCAATCAATCCAAAATCTTGAGCTAGGCATTCTTCTCCAAAGGTCAGGCGTATTTCTGATTTGCGGTTTAGTCGTTGCAAATTCCGACGTCCTTCTGCTGGGCCTCATTCGTGCATGTCACTTGCCCGCCGTCCAGGTCGTCTCAAGATCAGGCTATAAGATCTTGCGGCTTATCCCTATGAAGCCAGCTACTTTCGCCGTGAATGCCACTTCGAGACCATAGGCAGTCGGATGGTTGCGACTTGAGACCGCCCACTTGAGGACAGGAGCATCATCAATTGGAAAGCCTATCGTCCGGGTCCCGAAATCAGACGACGGCATTACCGCACCAAGTCCGTCGAGGGGCCGCACTTTCCATCTCAATGGCCTCAACATGGAGTCCGATAGACGGTTCCTCTCACGGTCATAGTATGTCGCCGATACCTCTTCGTCCATATGGCACAGAAGAACATGACATGCTTGACCGCGACGTATCGCGGAATCTTTTGCATAGAAGCAGCAGTCACGGCAGACCTGGCATCACGCCCACAGGTTCCTATACACGCCTCAGTCAGCTTTCTGAGATCTTCCACTGCTTGGCAAACCAACGATGAAGAAGAGATTCTACTATTCGGACCCAGGGATGGCTATACTGTCCTTCATCTACCTCGCCTTAGGAATATTGGTGGTTTCCCATGAATCCATCTCTTGGTATCTCGGTGTCGGTAACAACCAGCTCATTGTCGTCGGATTCCTGCTCAGCATCACGAGTTTATGCTTAGGCAGCGTCGCGCCGATCCTGTTCATTCTCATAGAGGCCAGATTTGGCAAGTCCACTATCCAGAACTACGACGGGCTTCTGCGCAACAAGCCTACTGCCTCGAGACTTGGTATGTCTTGGAGAGTGGCGCTCATCCTCATGTTGGCTCTTCCAATTGCTCTCAGCGTCGCGTACAAGACCTTCACTGGTGGCGAGAGTCAGATGGAGATCGACAGCTTTGACTACATCTCCAATAAGACCTATTATGGCATGTTCCAGCCGCCTGGCATACTTTCGTTCAACGGCGTCTCTGGGTTTCTCAACGCAGCCACGGCTTTTCGGGAAGCCACAAAACTCAGCTCAAATGGCTCTGAGCCACCTTTTCCAACACTGCCGAGCACATATGGCTACAATATCTTACTGTTGAATGTAACAAGCGCCGCGGCGCTTGATACTATCCAGGCATTTTATGTGATCGCAATACAGGAGCGTCTCGCAATAGGTGAATCATGGACCATCACTGCACCGGTGACAGGGACAGTAGCCACCTTCAATAAGATGATAGACTCGGATCGACAGACATTCGAAAGCGACTTCGTGTCTCATTTCCTGAACAGAAACGCCTGGGGTTTCGATACCAAAGACATGTTCAACGGGTGGTCACTCACACTCACGAACCGGAAATCTGACTCGGATCAATCGATACAGTATATTGGACTGGAATCAACCAACCCGGAATGTGAGTCCATTTCCAAACATGTCTGTCTGTACAACACCTACCGGCAACAATGCAACGGAACTTGATCAGTCACACAAGGCCGTTTTCAGCTGCTGAGCGGCCGTTGCGACGATGAAATTTTGGCTTGACCTCAGCAACTTCCATTTACATTCACATATCTCGCACTGGGGTCTTGGTACATGCTTCCCTTAATAGAAATGCTAGGCCCATTCTGCGGAAACAACAAAACATGTAACATAGGCATTCAGTCCCGTTGGATGCAGCCATGTATGGCCACATCGGTCGCTGCGATGCTGTGGTCAAGGAACGCAGTCATGAAAGGCTCGGGGGCCTTCAACTCGGAAGAGTTCGATGTGAGTTCTATGCCCTGGGAGTTGAAAAATGAGACCAAGGTACCTTACAAAGACGTCCGAGTCAAGTACAGAGTCCATCAAGCCGAGCAGATCATATTCTATAACAGACCAACGTTACGGGAATCACCTGGGCTATATCTGGTGCTTGCCATCCAGCCATTCTTGATAGTCATCATCCTGGGACTATCTTCCATGCGTCACTCGGAGCCCCTGGGCAAGGGATTCGGCCTCGTCTCGACCTTTTCGGGAATCGACAGTCAGAGCCTGAGCAGCTTGGCGGGAGCATCTCTTCCAGGGGAGCTTTCGCGGCCTCTCAAGCTTACAATGTCTCACGTTCAAACTGGCGGCACAAACACGATACATTGTCGTGCAGGAACATCTTCAGAAGGGCGTAAGCGAAATGGGAAGCTATCTAGGAACGTTGTTGATCATTGAGGTGAGCATAACAAGTATTGGTAAGCAAATATATGCATCTTTTAGCATTATCCCATCAACTAGGAGTATAGATCGCATTGATAAACCAGTTTCAAGTCTTCAGTCTTTCTCTCAATCTGCTCAATTTGCATCTTTTTCACAGGTAGATATGTGGTGGTTTTTTTCCGGCTTGACAGGCGCAAGAGATCGATTTGAATGGGATGAGGCTCACATGTTAGTATAAGAGAAGTTTAGGTTGATGTATGACTTATGATTCCCTCTTACAAAGTATCTGCATGTATGCATATGTGTATCAATCCTACATAGTATTTGATGAGATAAAGCCATTAGCTTTCCTCAGTTTTTCCAGAACTTGGACACATCACAACGAACATGACAGTCATGTGTATTGCGGAAATTGGCACCTCAAATCGTTCAAGTCAATAACAACATTGCTTGTAGAGCGCCTGAGAAAAGAAGTCTGAGGACCAGGTATCCGGGGTGTGGGAAGAGGACGCAACTAAGAAGGCAATAGATGCCGGGGCTAGGGCTCATCGCAAAAAAGACTGACTGCTAAGTCTCTGATCAGAACATCAGAAGCAAGCGCAAAGGTAACGCAACAGGAACAACCAGGCATGCCGCTGACTACAAGACCTCCCTCCCTTCTTTGATGTCTGACCTCAACCTACAAGGGGCACTGAGATCCTACCTGGCCAGAAAGCAAGACCACATGTAGCCAAAACCAAGGCTTTTTCACAGCAGTCTTCGACGAAATTCCATCCACGACAAGCCTCAAGGCGAGCTCACAAAGGCAGGCATCCGCAAAGACTCGGTCGTCTGACTTATCTTCCTTTCATACGGCAGACAAGACCGGGTTCTCGACTCTGCACCTTCCCGGGATAGCACCACGCTACGAGTTCCCAAAGAGCAATTCACCCTTTCGAGAAGACATCTTGATTCAGGTTCCAACACAAGAAGTCGTCAGCTGTTCGCATTCAAGCACGGCACAGAAGTAGCTGGCCGTAGGCAGTCGAATCGGAGGATTTGATCCTGAGCCCTACAAACCCTGAAGCTGAAGGAGAGCGGCCGTAGCTCTGGTCCGGCACTTTGCTGTTAGTATATCATTGGCGAGTATGATGTACCGGCGGCCAAGTGAGGTGCCTGAGATGCGGGCGTGGCAAGTCCAGGGCCTCGTTCTCTTGGACCAACATCGGGCGTTCCACGGTACGTGGGATCGTCAACTTGGTCCTGGCAATTTCACATCAGCGTATTCGGATTGTCATCGCTGTGGAGGAGCAGATGGTGCTTCGCTGCATGCTTGGAGTACGAGGCGGCAAAGTTGCAGATGAGAAGGCTGCTGCTATAAGTCTCTCGGTCCAACCAGCAGACATCAAAGTGCCATACCGCCAGTAGTCGAATCTTGAGCCGCAGGTCTCGCGACAAACGACAGCCAATGAAGCCAATATCGCAACGAGCCGGATCAGTGGACATCCGTGACCTTGCTGAATGATCTTCGTTGCAGTTGGGATGCAGTAGGCAAAAGTCTGGGGGTGGCCGCGTTGGAGGGACCGAACTCATTTGAACGTCCCAAGAATCGCAAAAAAGGGAAAGTGTGTGCATCAAAAGATAGAGAGCAGGGTTTGGACGACGACCCGTCGTTTGAGCGTGGTCCCGAAATTGGTTCTTTCGCGTAACGGCAGGGCGGTACTGCAACGTCGACAACAACCCCCAGTTCACAGCAAGGTCCCCGCCAGGACCGGAGAATTTGGACCGCCCTTCGGTCTGGGATCTGGACCGTCTCATTGGAAACCACAGATTGACGACAATACTTCTGTCACAAGTCAAAGGATTTCACGGGACGCGTTTCGTTCTTACCCCAGAAAAGCCATAGACATTTGAGGGGTGTTCGCCACACCAGTAGCTCCTGAACCGAAAGCCAGATTGCCATATGAGGAAGCGAGCTGATGCCGTCGCCAACTTTGGAGGGTTCGGCATGCAGGCACAGCACAGCCACGATACGTTAGTGAAAGGAGAACGATAGGCAAGCATTTTTGACAGGTCAAAGTCACCTCACTAATAAAGAGAGCCCGAGCAGGGATGCCATGCGCCATTCGGTGGCTTGTTGACTGGTATCCGCAGGCACAACGGTTGTGCCATTTGCTGATCCACATCGAAGATCTCCTTTCTTATCCGTACATCTAGTCAAGCCGACGATTCGGGCACTACTTGGTTCTACTGAGTCTTTGGGTACTAGGTTTGAGTTATTCGCCGGCACTTGTGTAGTCTCCTCTCGATCCGGGCGAATGGCCAGTGTGTCGGCGCTCGAGGGAATACAGAGCGCATACGGTCTTGTAACTGGGTCAAGATTGATGTGTAGGAGGTTGGAGATGAGGAGCGAGAGTTAAGTTAGAAAGCGCCGGCCAAAATATTCATGTCAACGCGGTACGGAGTACCAAAGTTGATTCCATAATGCTTGCTGGGTTTACTCGCTGCAGGCACCGTATGCCAACCCAAACGATGCAAGTATGCGCTGTTGAGGGCAAGCCTGGTGTTCCGTTCGGCGCAAGCGGTGGTCGATCAGTGTCCCGCCAATTTTGTGACAAGGGTTGTTAATTGAGGCGACAAGTAGCCAATAACGACGAGTCAACGCTCATCTCTGGCCTGTCTGCCTCTAATCATTGACTGTCATCATGTAAAGATCGATCCATAGAAATCTCAGCTGAGCAGCACACTCGACTTGAGGCCGTGGCGCAGATGGTTTTGTCCAGTATTGCAATGATGAAGTGCGTTGTGAGAGGGACGGAACGCTGCCGCCAAGGAATCCAAGCGCGTACTCGTATTGCCGAAATGTGTGAACGGCTGGCTGCAGACAAAATGCTGACTCTCAGCCTCGATTTCCTTTCGCGATGTCTTGCTTTTTCTTTGCCGTTGCCGCTCCTGCGAACTGAGGAACGGCCCTGGGCATTAAAGGCATCCAACGGCCAGCGCTGGCGGATTTGATAATGGCTGTCGGTTGCATTGAACGCGCGAGACCGTGTCTTGGCTAGGCAGCTCGTGGCGTTGTCCCCGAAGAAGCCGCCCGTTTCTGGGTCTTTGGGATGAGCGTTAGAAGGGCATCTAATATAGACGGGGATCCATGATTGTGGCGCGGCCTGTCGCCCTAAGAGGTTACGTCCAGTGTCCGTGAGTAGCATTCGGTGCGTCATCCATCAACAAGGTCAACTTTTTAATAGAGATTGGCCAGGGGGCAAGGTAACTCTCAGCAAAACGAGTTCGCGTGCCCTTGGGAGCGGGTTTCTCCCGGGAGAAGTGGGGGAAACAACGGTGTTCTGGGCTTCGAGGCTTGAGATATGAGTCGGCCGCACTGCCAGCTCCAAAGCATCAAGGATAAGACGATTGGTCATCCAAAGATTTCGAGAGCAATCGAAAAGACAAGTCAGAGTGCGGTGCGGCGTTGAAAAAGTTTGCAAGGGCCGAGACAGCTGAAGAGTATACACTCCGAGAGAAAAGTTGGCCCCCTGAGTATTCCCGTCGCGGAGCTCATGAACGACTAGCCCTGGCTAGCGTCCTGTCTGTCTCTCCAAAAATCGAGCCGCCCGAGTCAAGAAGGAGAGGGAGGTGGCACAGACGATGATTTGACGGCTGCCAATATGACGAATTGCTGATGACAAGACCAGGACGGCTGAAGGATTGCTGCTAAAAGCCTGGGACCACGGAGGGCTTTCCCTAGCCTAGCGGCGAAGCCAGGTGCCAGTGGAGGGCAGGCCAGGATGGCGACCAGCAGTCCCGGGGGGGCCATATCAAGCTGTGTCTAACTTTGATGCTAAGGCGACTCGGGTGCAGGGATGCGCGGCACACCTTTTCAAGCACTGCACCACAACTTGGCATCTTGGATGGTCTCTTGCTAATTTCCCTTCCAAGGTTGAGATGCAGCAGCACACATGGCCGGGAAAACAACCGAATCCTGATGTTGCTTTGGGGCCGCAGAATGCCTGCATGTCAGCCTCCTCTCCTTTCCGAGGTGTCCTTGGGCCTTTTGGTCGCGAGGTATCCGTATATTGTATCTATGACAATTGCCATCCTATTGATGACCCCTGAAAGAGGAAACGGGCAAAGGCCATCTTCGCAAATTCGTCAGGCCTGGGAAGTCGTCCGGAGCGCATGCAGGGGAGCTTCAAAAGACATTTGATTTGCAATCCCGCGGCCGGGCTCGCCAGGCACGCCGACAGCCAGGGGTATGATTGACAAATGGGGCAGCCTAGTTCACGTTTTGCCGGGGCTCCGGATCGCCTTTCTTTGGTATCTTGAGTTATTTGCTGTCGCCGACAACCTGTATCCGTACATGGTGGTGCGGTTGCTACCCGAAGGACGCAGCGAGCAGCCATAAACACGCGTATATCGATATTCGTGGAAACGCCTCACCCTTGCTTGGCAGTCTTTCCAGCCTCTAGACTCCGATGCGACTTCTGCTGTGCCTCCGTTCTCCGAGCGTGTTCTGTTGATATGCGATCGCAAGGCCCGAAGATACATAGATAACAGTGGGGGCGCCATGGGACATTATTGCTGCTGCATTGCAACATGGTCCGTATCAAGGCAGAGCGACAACGGGATGCATGGTACCTTGTACGACTCCTATTGCGCCCTGATGGTGTTTACCAGGTCTTGGCGGCATCGACACGAGAGAAGCGCATGCGGAGCCTACAGAGACAAGTCATAATTGTTAGCCCTGAGGCTGGTGATGTAGTTTGTGCTCATCATGTTCGAAATAAACAGCGGTTGTGGGAATGTGGGAGAGCCTAGAGGATCGTTGATGGAGTATCTTTTTGCTTGGGGTGCGGCATACCGATTTGGGGCGCCACTTTTGACTTGCAAGTGGAGCGGAGCCTAAGTGCAATGGGCCATGGACATTGCAATTGGGATGGAACGATGGGTGATCGAAGATCCAACAATGCTGGTGCAACCGAATTCTGATTATGGGCCGGAGCAGCAGTAGGATGCAAATCTGTTAAGCGATCCTTCGCTTGGAAGTCTGCTTTGTAATAATTTGTATTGTGTCTGCCCAAAACTCATAGCCGGTACGCGCCGCAGGATGATGAAGCTGCTTCTCTGATATCTGTATCCGGTTCTCCTGTCGCATGGCTCATAATTAGCACCTCAGGCGGAGGCAAGCGGATCTAAATTCTTCATCCATAACTTCGGGTCTGGTATCCGAGCAACGGCATGGCCTCCGGGTGTATTAAGTTGGCGTTGATGGTGTTTGGAATGTAAGTGGACGAGAAAGGCCGGTGTCGAATGTTGATAGATCGTCATGTGCTCGACAATAATACTGGACTGTCCACTCTGGGATGTGTCTTCATCTCGATTGTATTCCTGGCGTTATGGCGTTGTGTAACTGTGGTCTGCCAACCGGGATAAATGCCGTCGAAGGCCTTTGGCGGTGTTTCCAGGACCTATGATATCCACCTTTGTTGTGCATCCCGTTGGTAGTCTTGGCGGTCGAGTGGGACTGTGCAAGGAATGGGACGCCAACAACAGGCACCGCCAGGCAGGATGGGGAATTGGAGTCTTTGGAGATGGGGATTTCGGTCCACCAGTCTATGCCGGTAGGGTCGCAAGCAGGCGGGCATCTGTGGTCCTCCTGGCTGGCTTCGGCCGTCGTCTCATGCAAAAGAGGGAAAACCATGGCAGAGGCGATCGAAAGAGTGGGACAGGTCGTGCTTGCGGCTTGCCAACCAGGTTAGAAAGGCACTCCCGTCGATAGATCATGGCAGCGCGTCCGAAGGTCCGGCCGATGGGCAGAAAGAAGGAGTTGGGGAGGAAACACCTGTTTCGTGCTTGACCCAATTGAGCCATGATGCGAACAGATTCGAGCATTCGTGCCATAATTACCGAGCTAGCTACGCATCAGCGGTCTCTGCTATTCTTGCTGAATCATATGTGTTGACATTGGTAAGTTGTTGCCGTGAGGAATCCGAGCTGGCCATTGACTGGCATGTGGATGACCGATGATGAGCTGCCTGGGGGCACTAGGGGATGGGATAGGATTGTGAATGTTGGAACGGTAGGCGTTGGACCGTGCACAAGATGACGGATAGCCCATACACAGTAGACGTTGGATGGCACCGTTTTGGTCGCAGTGCTGTTCGTCTGTACCTAACCCCGTACACAGGGAGATGAAGGAGGTTCGTCGGTCCGTTTTTAATGTCCTTGAGTAAGGTAAGGAAGGAACACTGCTTCAGCCTACCTCCCTTACTGTACCGTAAGGCAATAGGTGCGAGGAAGCCCCAATGGCTGGAACACTCGTCGCAACTGCCCGATAGTGTTCAGTTGGTCAGAGGGAAGGAGACACGAAACAAGACGATTCATTGGCAACGTCTTGCCATGGTTCGGACGGAAAGAGCCACCTCCATCATGTTCGTTGGACTTCTGACTTGCTTCCTCGTCCAAGGTACCATGAAACCTTGGGGTGCACCTGACCGAACAGCTGCCTTCCCAGTTCATCTGTTCTCTCAGACACTTCAGGTTGATTGAGGAGTGGATTCGTCTTCCATTCTGGAAGGAACAGATCTGAGCAAGTGTCTTCACGCAAGGTATTCGTACCTAGGTACCTTTCTCAAGGCGGGGGTATTCCATTTGATACAGTAGGCACTTCCAATGCCTTCTATTGTTCTTCTGCAAGCATAGAAGTTCGGCACAAGCTCAACCATCATCTAGATTCCTATCACCTTATTTCAATCTGTTCGGGGTCTTCTGTCCACTGTACGCAGCTCTCTCTTGTTCTCTGTCGCTGCCTGATTGACCGTCCCACATCAGGAACACGAAATTTCTCTTGCCAAGCAAACTCAATTCGCAAAGGAGAAGAAAACCAAGAGAAAAGTGGTCCGAGACACCGTTCTTCTGTCTGTGAAATTGACACAAGCTTAGGCATTCAGGGTTGCCCTTTGGCTTTTCCACCTTGGTGCTGTCTTTCCCGATGTATCGGTTTCCCACGGAGACCCGGATCCCGCCGGGCCCGCCAGGCCTTCTCAACGGTTCCGTCCCGCCCGCCGATTGACGTGGGAAGTATCTGCGTCAAGAAAACTTGCAAGCCGCCAGCAAAGTACTCGCCCGAGACTTTGAGCTCGGCTGCCTTCTGGGGATACGTTATCCCCTTCAACACGTCAACCTATAATCTCCCACATGGGATAGGCCCAAACTGTTTGGCCTGTAAATCCATCTGTCATCTGTCTATGTATGTACTTGCTTACGAAGATCAACAGTTTGCCAAGTCCGTATCGCACTGCGTGACCCTCGCCCTCCCCTCCCCACCTCAAAGAATCCAACCAGAAGGTTGCGGGCTCGCCGTCCCACGCTAGGTCCGACACAGCCACAGGAGAAGGATGATTTTGACGTGTTCTCGCGTTCTGAGAGTGCGTTGACTGCGTCGTATACCTTTGTTCTGCCCCACGTTGGAATACCAGAATACGGCCCCTCTGCCCAAATCCCTGAGCAGTGAGCACGCCAGTGGCCGCGACGCGAACGCAGAGGCATGATGTAGTGTCGCATTGGCAGACGCTGTTGACAGCTATTGGCCATGCCTCAACACGCAAGTCTGCGGGTTCTGTCCATTTTTTTCTTCACTTCCCAAAGAAAGAAGCGATTGCTGACCTTGCCGGGGAAAGACAGACTACAGTACGTGAGTGCCTCAGATCTGCGGGTATCAAGCCGTACTGCGAACAGGGCGGGTGGATGCCATCCCCTTCTCAACTCTATACGGATAGGACATACGGCGAACCCCGTTTTTGCAGTGGTTAGGCGTTGCGTTGTTCTGGCTCGGACGTCCGGCCTGCGACTTGCAGGATAGTCAGAAGAAGTTGCGGAAGCCACGCCACGACATGCACAACCACGCATACACAGTACAGAGGTGGCAGAGGAAGACCGGCGGGATGGCGTCCAACATCTGCCAGGCGGGCCCTACTACCAACGCTCGGGCACCGAGCTAACATCCATCCCCTGGTGGCCAGCAGAGGTGGGATGTTTAACGCTGCTGGTCTACAGTATCTCGTTGCTTACAGATCCCCAGTGTCTGTTCCCTCGTTTGCTAACGAGTTGGAATGGGGTGCCTTGTTGCATTTTTCTACTGACTTAGCTGCAGTAGTCTGAGGGCTGCCGTTGTCTGCCGTACCCTTACCAAGCTGGAGCGTACAGATACAGGCTACCTTACGCAGTACAGCAGCGTTGTGCTTGGACATTTCTTTTCTTTCTTCACGGCCATCCCAACTTCCGACTCGTCCGCCCTGTTTGCCCGGCTCTTGCGCTGCAAGGCCTTGCTTCTGCATTACATCACAGAAAATGGAATCCAGCAACCAAAGACGCCCTATGGCTTGTCAGATTAGCTCCTTGTAGCGTGCCCTGCCAGGCTTGACAGCAGGGACTGCAAGTACGAAAGTACGCAGACCATACGGAGGAGTATCTTTTTCGTATTCATGTCCCCCTCGAATACTGGCTTGAATCTCAATTGCTTTAAATGAGCCATTGAGTCCCAATTGATGGCTCTGCCTTCTCTCGGGCACACATTCTTCTCAATCTGCTTTCCTTCCCCCTCGGGCCTCACTTACTGATCCAGTTGGTGACATTCGGCCCGTCGGATTTGGATGGGGTTGAACCATTCCTTATCGCCCGGTGCAAATTTCACAAGCCCTTTATTTTCTTGTTGCTTCTGATCCAATCCAGCCTAGTCTGACTACGGATACAAGAGTGACCAAACAGGGGGGGGAGACATGCCCGATCCAGTCAACAACTCACAACCACGTAGGCCCCCAAGCTAGTAGTGGAAGATCCCGCGCGCACTCGCCGGCGGTGTCGTTACTCATGGGTACTTGGACCGCCAAGGAGTAGATAGCGCTATGAGATGTTCGTTGGGAAATCGCTACAATGTGTGGATGTTCGCCCGGGGTTATGGGTTCCTTGATGCCTGGGTACCTGCAAAGACCTAACCCAAGTGCCTACCACGCAGTAGTACCTAGGAGTCTAGGACACTCTGTAATCGGAGATTTTGGTACAGGGAAGGGGCCTCTCTACGAAAGCTGCAAGGAGGTGGACTGTCCAACCTATGGGGATACAAAATGCCTCCCGAGTTCCCGGGGAGGAGAAAAGAACCAAACGGGGCCACCTCAGGGCACCTACATAGGTAGGGTAGGCATGTACTATCTGCCCGGGTCGGTACGTATTCAACTATCGGATGGGTACCGACTTTTGGTGGGATGCTGTACAGCGTACGCAGTATCTGTACCGCTAGGAGGAGAGGTGAGGCATCTACCCAGAGTACCTACATCTTCATTGGTCTTACTCCAAGAGAATAAACGTTGGCAAGGGAAAATCAAACATACGGGAAACCATCGGCAATTCTTTCCTTCACGTTTCCCTCGAACTTTCTCCGAGCTATGCATTTGTCGATAGACGCACAGCACAAGCCTGGGACTAGGTACGGGAAACTCATGATCAGATCTGTGACAACGCCACCATGGCAGCAAGAGATGGAGGCAGACAACGGCGTACTAGTCAGTCCATGGCAGCAGAGATGACAGGCATTGGGATTTGAGAGAGAGAAGTGCCTACCATGCTGCCCCAATCCAATATGCGCCAGGTCCCAGTCAGTTTAGTCCAGTCCAGTCCATCCCAATCGCAACCCACTTTCGATCCGATTGCCATCCCATCCCATTCCATCCGTTCTCCCCGTCTCCAGTTTCTCCCATCCGTCCACGTTTAGAACGGTGAACTGGTGCCTGACCGGGAGTCTGTCTGTGAAGTGACTGCTTGGAGACTGGACCGGTAGAGTGAGGAACTCGCCCATCCCGGCCTGTCCTATTTCTCTTTTCAATCCGCTCTGAGACACACGCCCAGAAATGTCAATATTTTTTGTCGCCATCTCACTCTCCGTGCCCTCTTCCTAGAGTTTGTCCTGCGCTTTTTCTCTCGTTCAGTCTGTTTCTCTCTCCATCTTTTTGCTAAGATAGCTAGCTGTGTGTATGGATCTGTCTCAGTGAATTTGTCTACGTTTACCGAATTGGACGCCAGTCAATTAGAAGCAAAGTACTTTGGTAAGGTAGTTTGTCAAGCATCTGTGCCTAAGGTACCTACCGTAAGGTAATTAAGACACAATCCTCTCATCGCCGGCGCCTACATCCACGGTCCACGCCCGTCCTCCCTGAACCCCCCCTGTCCCTTCCGTCCTTCTCCTGCCTTCCGCAGACGCCGCCCACCTCATCCTCCATCTCCTCCCCAAATTCACCCACGTACTTCCGTACCTAAGATACGTCGTACGCACGGCACGGCCACACTGGAGACTTTTTTTTTTTCTTCCTTTCCCTCTGCTCCTGCTGGCACCGCGTGGCTCTCTCCTCATCCCATCATCCCAACTCTGTCACCGTACCTACCTCCCTACAACCCACCCCTACCTCCCTTTTACCTAGTCGTGACTTCCCTGGCTGGCATCCGCAGAGGTGTCTTTGCCCGAAACACACCACGCTTCTTACACACCTCCCGCACAGCCCGAGGTACCTCGCGTGTTCCTTGGTACCTGCCTCTCCTGCTTTACTTTTAGACGCCTCCTCCAGCCATTGCCGCTCTCTCCACCACCTCTGGCTCACTCACCCTCCTTCTATCATCCCGTCCCAATTCTCTAAACCTCTCTACCCTCTCTAC